AGACAAATTGGAGGATTGGGCCAAAAGAAATCTGATGAGGTTCAACAAGGACAAGTGCAGAGTCCTGCACTTAGGACGGAAGAATCCCATGCATCACTACAGACTAGGGACCGAATGGCTCAGCAGCAGTTCTGCAGAAAAGGACCAAGGGGTTACAGTGGACGAGAAGCTAGATATGAGTCAACAGTGTGCCCTTGTTGCCTAGAAGGCTAATGGCATTTTGGGATGTATATGTAGGGGCATTGCCAGCAGATTGAGGGATGTGATCGTTCCCCTCTATTCAACATTGGTGAGGCCTCATCTGGAGTACTGTGTCCAGTTTTGGGCCCCACACTACAAGAAGGATGTGGAAAAATTGGAAAGAGTCCGGCAGAGGGCAACAAAAATGATTAGGGGAGTGGAACACATGACTTATGAGGAGAGGCTGAGGGAACTGGGATTGTTTAGTCTACGGAAGAGAAGAATGAGGGGGGATTTGATAGCTGCTTTCAACTACCTGAAAGGGGGTTCCAAAGAGGATGGATCTAGACTGTTCTCAGTGGTAGCAGATGACAGAACAAGGAGTAATGGTCTCAAGCTGCAGTGGGGGAGGTTTAGATTGGATATTAGGAAAAACTTTTTCACTAGGTGGGTGGTGAAACACTGGAATGCGTTACCTAGGGAGGTGGTGGAATCTCCTTCCTTAGATATTTTTAAGGTCAGGCTTGACAAAGCCCTGGCTGGGATGATTTAGTTGGGGATTGGTCCTGCTTTGAGCAGGGGGTTGGACTAGATGACCTCCTGAGGTCCCTTCCAACCCTGATATTCTATGATTCTAAGCGGGGGATCAAGTGTTTGTCAGCAGTGGTGATATTTAAGCTGGAGAGTAGGGGTGAGAAAGGAGGAGGTGTAGTGAGAGTTCTTTGTAGACTGTATGGAAGGTAGTGATGCACCATCAAGGGAAGCTCCTTCCAGCATTTCTTACCTTCCTTATCTTGACTGGGGAGATAGCAAGCAGGTGGAAGTGACACCTGGAAACAATTTGTCAATAGCACAGGTTTATGCCTTTAGTGAGCAGAGGTCTAATTTCCTCAGTGCAGTAGGTAGCAGCAGGAATGGGCTTCTGGGCCAGGAAGAGAGAACAAAAAAAAGAGAGGGTTCAAGAGGTCAACCCATCATTCCCACCCATCTCAAACATGTTCCACATGAAAGATTTTCTAAGAACATGTACTTCAAGGGGAGGCCTATAAATCACCGCAGTTAGTTCTCCTCCTGTATTTGTGTACTATCTCAGTCACTGGAATGGATGTTTCATTATGCATACTGTGATAGGGTCGTGCCAGATGGCTATCGGAGAGTAATAGAAGGCAGATATATTAGCCCCAGGCTAAGTAGGTCCCTTTTCCCTGGGTAAGATAACAGGGAAGGTTCCAGAACAATCAGAAACCTTCTGGAGACAATTAAGACAGGCTGATTAGAACACCTGCAGCCAATCAAGAAGCTGCTAGAATCAATAAAAGCAGGCTAATCAGGGCACCTGGGTTTTAAAGAGGAGCTCACGTCAGTTTGTGGTGTGCATGTGAGGACTTGGGAGCAAGAGGCACTAGGAGCTGAGAGTGAGAACGCGGACTGTTGGAGGACTGAGGTGTACAAGCATTATCAGACACCAGGAGGAAGGTCCTATGGTGAGGATAAAGAAGGTGTTGGGAAGAGGCCATGGGGAGGTAGCCCAGGGAGTTGTAGCTGTCGCACAGCTGTTCCAGGAGGCACTCTAGACAGCTGCCTTCCACAGGGCCCTGGGCTGGAACCTGGAGTAGAGCGTGGGCCCGGGTTCCCCCCAAATCCTCCCAGCTCCTGGCTAGACACGGGAGGAGTCGACCTGGACTGTGGGTTCAGAAAAACGGCCAAGCTGAGGGCTGCCGTGAAGCTCCAAGGCGAGCAAATCCGCCAATAAGCGTAAGACCCACCAAGATAGAGCAGGAACTTTGTCACAGTACCAATAGCTTGTGCATAGCTGTCACTGTAGAAGGGAGCCTCTACTGCTACTATATCAGCAACAGCACAGCTACCCGGGGGACAGATCAGTACCGGTAAGAAGTGCTCCAGCATTTATCAAGGGCCAGGCATATGATGCTGAGAGAGTTCTGTTTGGAGGAAGTGCAAGTGGCCTACCAGGTCCAGGAATCACAGCAAGTACCTCTCATCACATATTTATCTGCCATCTGACAACAGAATAGGTGTTTCATGAAAGATCAGTGTTTGCTCCACATGCATCTCATTTCAAACACCTATTTGTTTACTTCTTCCTTCAGTTGGACAATTAGATGTAATGAAAACTTTTCAATCAGTACAGTTGTTTGATAAACTTTCCTAGCTTTCCCCCTATTTTATCACAAGTGGCATCTCACTTCTAACAGACGAGAGAAAGACTCACTGGACATCTTCATGTGAGAGGAGGCCAGTATGATGCTGTCCAAAGTCAAATGTAAGCAATTTCATTCATAACTGTGAAAGCCAATCAGCACTGAGTTTTTGAAAAGTGTGGAGTGGGTTCAAATTGATATAATTTCCCATTCTGATTGTCTATTCAATTCTCTTTTGAGGAACTAAAATTTTGTCTTGCAGAAGAGGTAGTACTCTTCTCTCCCACTGTCTTCTCTGGTGCATAAAGTGTCAAGAATATGCTGGAGGCTAAGGTTTTACACAATTTTTAAAATGGCTAGTTTAATGTAGGGTTATTATTCCTAAATTCAGGAGTTAATATCTCATTGGTACTAGAGACAAGAGTGCCTGAGTAAGTCCCACAAAGATTTACACATGTGATTAACTTTATGCACTATGAGCAGATATATAACAACACTCAGTCAAATACACATTCACCATATGGGCAGGATTGCTGCCTAAGTTAGGAATTTCAGACAGTAAACTATCAATTATGTTTACATCTTACCAACATGGAACAGCTTGAGCAGCTTCTATCATGAACTAGACAGATACTCAGATATAGCTCCTCAGCTTCACTGGAGCTACACCAGTTTACACTAGCAGAGGACCTGTCTGCAAAACCCTGATTCTATACTGTTAAAAACTGGAAATCTGGCCACAAAAAAACATGTCATCTATTTATAATCTTCTAGCTACTTGCATACATGCCTATCCTTGCAGATGGCATGTCCTCTCTCAGGTTTTTCTAATCCTCATTCTGAGATACAGATATTAAGCAACAATGAGTTTAATTGGGAAGTCTTTCATTCTTATAAATGGTCAACATACTTACAGAAAATCCCATTTACAGGGACTAGCCCTTTATACCTTTTCACAGGCCTTATCTAGACTCAGATTTAAAGGTGTGATATTATCAGTCAATTCGTAGGAGGCTTTAAAAGTCTGTTTCTTGTTTCAAAGCTTTAAGAGAACTTTAATCACCAAATCCACTTGCTTATACAATTTGATACAAATGTTCATCTTAATTTGAACAGAATGCAAATTCAGGTAATAAGCAAAAAGTGACTGGACACCAAGGCATTTTGTCCAGCGCATTTCAGTTCTGTTTATTAAGAATGTGTGCTACGCAGCGCATAACCAGAAGGAAATGGAAATTCATAGCAGTCTGTCAGAAGACTATATTCTGCCCTCAGTTATGTGGATGCAACTTCCATTGAGTTCAACAGCATTTTTGCATGTTGTATATGAAGGTTGAATTCTGTCCAAAGAAACCATGGACAAAAATCAACAAAGAAAATCAAATATAATTTTCTCTTATGTAGACATAATTTTAAAGCTACATAGGTGGATTAAAACTAAAGTGTTTTAAAAGAATATATGTAGCCTAGTGGACAGATTACTGGACTAGAAATCAAGAGAACTGGGTTCTATTCCTGGCTTTGCCACTAATCTGCTGGGTGACCTGGGTCAAGTTGCCTCATTGCTCTATGCCATTGTATAGTTTCCCTGTCTGTAAAATGGGATAATGATACTGACCTCCTTTGTAAAGCACTTTGAGATTTACAGATGAAGTAAGTACCATTATTTAAATTCAACCCTATTATCTGTTTATTACATTTAAGTAATTAATAAACAAAATAAACAATGTAGGGCTTGATTGTATAGTTACCACAAGGTCTGGGGCAGCATAATTACGTTAACCCAGAAAGAGACTTGGAACTGAATTGTGATGCAAAGTCAAAATTTCCTCTTCTTCATTGCTCCTGGAGGAAGTAACTGGGCACAGATGTGCCAGCTGGTGTGTTAGGAGGAAGAGTTAGGGTTTCTCTTATTTGCAACCCTCTTTTGCACAGGGTGGGAGTGGTGAATAGTGGTCTTGCAGGAGCTGCTCCCCAGCCCTGCACAGTAATCTGCAAGGCAGATAGATAGTGTAGGGGACGGAGGGGTCGTTTTTTGTTTCCTGAGTCCCTGGCAGGGCATACAGGGCAAGCCAAAACTTTGGCCTAAAGAAGGGAAGAGACACATTTTGATATAAAAATCCTGTCATTGTTTAAAAATCATACACAGTGGAGATTTTTAGAAATATAAGGACAAAATAAAGTAAACCCCTCTCCCAATACTCATGTGTGCCTTGGAAAATTTACAAGATTCCTTCCAATGCCTAATCCACCATCTTTGCAGGTAATTTGAATGCACTTTCAATGCTTTGAGTTTTAAAGCATGCCTTGGACTACTCTTTTTTGTAAATATAATGTTGTCCATTGTTTCTGTATTACTTGAGAAATCTTGACTTTTCAGGTCTTTCATCAGGATAGACAAACCTCAAAGACTATAATATCCTGAGTATCCTTTACATCAAGATATGACTGTGGAACTTAGATTGTAAGATCTTTGTGGCAGGGACTGTCTTTTTTGTTCTGGGTTTGTACAGCGCCTAGAACAATGGGGTCCTAGACCATGACTGGGGCTCTTAAGCATTATTATAATACAAACAAACAAATAAATACTACATAATAATGAAATTAGATTGGTTGGCATTTTTTTTTTGTTTTTAAAGTAGTGCAATAATTATTTACCTTCCTCATGGATGTGCTCCCTTGACGGTCACTGGCAGAACTAGCGTACCTATGACAGAGATGAAGAAGTTTTTAGAATATAAAAGAAAACAAATAGAATCCGAATAAAAATGACATATATTCAGGCATGCTTAGTGATTTAACTGAATGATTCCCAGTGATGGTAAATGCAAATCATGTAGCTAAATTCCTGTGCAGCACTTTGAAAATATACCTAATATGTGCACTTTATACAACTGAAGTATTAAAAATGGATCCAGGTCCATCTTCAACATTCTGATTTACAAATAGACAACTTCAGTGTAAGAAAGTCTGATCCCTTTGCAAGTCTTTGTCCTAACAATCTTCAAAGTTAATTAGCTGAAGTCTAGCTAATGCAAATATTGACAAAAATAGATTTAAAAAAATGATTTGAAGTGATTCTTTCCTCTGTGTCTTTAGGGAGTCTTGTATGTCCTAGGTTGCAAGTTCTTTGTAGTATGCATCACCTTGATATCTGTCTTGTATCAATGGGAATTTATATGGCTGGAAGAGGGCCATACCAACCATTGCAACCTTCAGGCCGAAAGAGGGCACCAGATGATATAGTTAGTAGGTTGGTGTGATGCTGGCAGACCAGGTTCCAGCTCATGACAAGGCTCCAGGCCTCATTGAACACTTGCAAATGCATTGCTTACCTGTGTGTTAGCGTTATCAAAATAGATATTAGATAAACACATTCTGATCAATGTAACAGTGTTTAGACTTGATAAAATACTTGTAGGATGCGGCATGTATTAATCTCATTTATAACCTCTATAGCCCATTGTATAAAATTATATTGAGAGTTTGCATTGTAAACCTCTGATATTGTGTAACTCACTGAACAGGAAAAGAAGCATTAATGTAAAGGGCTCATCCTTCGTACAAGATGGCCTATTGAAGGCAAATGAGGGATGGTGTAGCATCAAAGAAGAGAGTCCCTGTTGACTGCGTTCCTAATTACCTCCAAGGAGGACAGACCTATGCATGAACTCATCCCATCAGTTTTGCCCCTGGAGTGGAGGGGATAAAAATCCCTGACTAGGAGAAACTGAATCTCTTTTATGCTGTCTATACTGTGAGGGGCAAAGATTTCTAGACATAAGCAAAGAGATCCCCATGCTGCTTGGCATGGGTTAGTCCTGAAATAAATTTTGAACTGACAGATTACTACAACTGTTACCTTTAGAATCACAGACTGAAACTCATTGTATATATATGCTTGCTTGCTTGAACCTATAAATAACTTTTTCTTTTTCCTAGTTAATAACTTTTTACTTAGTTTACCACAGGATTGGCTACAAGCGTTGTCTTTGCTGTGAGATCTAAAGAGATCAAATTGAGCTGGAGTAAGTGACTGATCTTTGGGACTGGGAGCAATCTGAACATTTTGTGGTCTTTGGTGTAAGTGACAATTTATCACATAGTCCATTTTACCTGGGTGGCAAGATAGCCTGGAGTATCAAAGGGGACTGTTTGTGACTCCATTATAAGGCTATTGTAGTACTTCAGGAGTTCACATTTGTTACTGGGTTGGTGAAATCTAATTATAGAACATGCAATCAGTTTGGGGTGTCTGTCCTGCTTTTTGACAGTCTTCCCTGAGGTTGGCACTCTCAGTTATGAACTATTCCAGACATCATGACAGGTAGATAGAACATTTTTATTCACATAAAGCAGCATTTTCTTGGCTTCTTCAGAAAAAATACAGTAATATCAGTTGAAATTGTGAGTTTTGCTTTAAATGTTGTCTATGTTTTATGACGTGTTAGTTTGTAGACGTGTGTTTGAATTGTGCCCTGTACAAGTAATTTATTCAACACACTAATCTGTGTAAATTTGTCATTTTCTCCCGTATAATTATACAGTCATAACAAGGATAATTTGTGTTATTTCCTGTGCCTTTATTTTAGCAACATGTAAGGACACTTACATATACACTGATACTAGCGATTGTGGTGCCAAAACACTAATCTGAAAGGATTGGTAGGTACCACTTTTGTCACTGAGAGGAGATCCTTAACCTTTTCTCTCATTCTTATCATCCTGTGTCATAAACCCTCATAATCTGTTAGAGAGTCGATACTTCTCTAATGTGCCATTCAGCAACTCTTCCCTCACGTTATAGCTGCTAAACCACTGCTTAGTAGGACATGTAATGACACAGATGGTGACTGTCATAAATGTAAAGGGAAGGGTAAACCCCTTTAAAATCCCTCCTGGCCAGAGGAAAAATCCTCTCACCTGTAAAGGGTTAAGAAGCTAAAGGTAACCTTGCTGGCACCTGACCAAAATGACCAATGAGGAGACAAGATACTTTCAAAAGCTGGGAGGAGGGAGAGAAACAAAGGGTCTGTGTCTGTCTATATGCTGCTTTTGCTGGGGATAGACCAGGAATGGAGTCTTAGAACTTTAGTAAGTAATCTAGCTAGGTATGTGTTAGATGATGATTTCTTTAAATGGCTGAGAAAAGAATTGTGCTGAATAGAATGACTATTTCTGTCTGTGTGTCTTTTTTGTAACTTAAGGTTTTGCCTAGAGGGATTCTCTGTGTTTTGAATCTAATTACCCTGTAAGGTACCTACCATCCTGATTTTACAGGGGTGATTCCTTTACTTCTATTTACTTCTATTTCTATTAAAAGTCTTCTTGTAAGAAAACTGAATGCTTTTTCATTGTTCTCAGATCCAAGGGTTTGGGTCTGTGGTCACCTATGCAAATTGGTGAGGATTTTTACTAAACCTTTCCCAGGAAGTGGGGTGCAAGGATTGGGAGGATTTGGGGGGGGGGGGAAGACGTGTCCAAACTAGGTTTCCCAGTAAACCCAGTTAGAGTTTGGTGGTGGCAGTGGTTATTCCAAGGACAAAGGATAAAATTAATTTGTACCTTGGGGAAGTTTTAACCTAAGCTGGTAAAAGTAAGCTTAGGAGATTTTCATGCAGGTCCCCACATCTGTACCCTAGAGTTCAGAGTGGGGGAGGAACCTTGACAGTGACCTCTCTGACTTTTTCTCTCTAAATCTTTCAGTTTGACTTTTCCAGAGAATCATATTATCACACCAACAAGACACGTAAAAAGCACTGACATATACCTAAAATAAGTTCTCTGTTCTTTCCCTTTTCATAGTAAATAAACAAGAATCTGTGTATGCCTCTCAACTCCTTGATAGAGAAATTGGCAATAATGTAAAACAGAGAAATCAGAATAAGGAAGTCCAGAGAGGGAAGAAAAATCTAGAGATTCAGAATGCCCTAAACGTACTCTACCACTGATGAGCTATTACCAGCAGGAGAGCGGGGTGGGGGGGCGGCGGGGGGACGGGACTTTTTGTAGTGATAATCAAGGTGGGCCATTTCCTGCAGTTGACAAGAACATCTGGGGGGGCGGCGGCGGGAAAATAGACGTTCTTGTCAACTGCTGGAAATGGCCCACCTTGATTATCACAATAAAAGGTTCCCCCTCCGCCCTCCACCCCCCCCCGCTCTCCTGCTGGTAATAGCTCACCTTAGCTGATCACTCTCTTGTTACAGTGTGTATGGTAACACCCATTGTTTCATGTTTCTGTGTATATAAATCTCCCCACTGTATTTTCCTCTGAATGCATCCGATGAAGTGAGCTGTAGCTCACGAAAGCTTATGCTCAAATAAATCTGTTAGTCTCTAAGGTGCCACAAGTACTCCTTTTCTTTTTAATTGGTATTCAGTATCAGTTAGGATCCTGACAAGGATCTGGCAACAACAAACAAAGCCAAATCATTCACAGAATTAGGATTTAAGCATGCTGTCAGTCACTCATGCTTTACTACTTGGGATGGCATTGAAAAAGAAACTGACTGCCATGAAAATATGCAATACCTGGTGGTCTGTGCCCTCAAATATCCACATATACATGGGCATTTTAAATAGCCATGTTTTCATGCCCTTCCTGGAAGCATCACTTCCAGAAAGAGATGCTTTCAGTTAGGTTATTGCAGTGCTAGCCAAAAAACGTTTTTACGCTGCTTCCCTAAGAATCCCTATCAGCAGCAATATTTTCATGAACGACATAAACAAATAGAAGCCTATGGTAGGTGGTGCAGATAGTTTTCTGATTTGATGAATTCAGCTGTTATGAGAAGACAAATTTACCAATCAGAACAAAATTATCCAGTTCTTGTAGATAGGGATCCATCAGTCCTGAATCACTAATGGAAACTGGCAGGCAGTAGTCAAAAGTGACATGGGGTAGTTTGACTTCTATATTTCGGGGAGGGCTCGAAAGAGGAAGGCTCCAGTCAGGACAATGGAGCTGCACGCAGGGATGCAAATTCTGCGCTTGCCCAAAGATTGCAGTTTAGGGTGGGCAACGCTCCCGCCAAACTACTCCCATGAGTGGGAAGGTTGAATACGAACAAAATTTTTGATAAAAAGAAATGGAAGTGTAAAGGAAAGACTCAGGAGATCAGAGCAGCCTGCAGATTTTGGGGGTTGAAAGAGGCACCTGGAAATGAGGAAATGCTCAACGTGTGGTATTTGATAAAGGAATGTGCAGGAGCCCAAACTGCACACAGCACATTTTGTCTTAAAATGCTTCTCTTCTCTCTACCCATGAGACTGCTATAAAATACTTCAGTCCTGCTGGGAAAAGTTTCCCCTGACTTCTGGATTGTTTTTTAAAGTCACTGCTTTGACCCATCTGGAAAATGTCAGTGTCAATATTTTATCTCCTCTTATGGACAACATACAATATGAATAATGAATCTGTTTCTTGAACTGAGGAGTCCTGTTCAAGTAAAGTTTTAGAGTGTCATACAACCAGAAAATAAAGCTGGACCTTCTTAGAGTGATTTTAGGAATATTATCTGAAGGCACCTTGTGAAGTTTTAGGGCAAGTCTATAAACAGATGTTTTTAGGTGCTAGCTGTCCAGGGTCTACAATATCCTCTCAGGTTCAGGAATACTTGGTCATCATATAGGTGCCGACTCCGTGGGTGCTCCGGGACTAGAGCACCCATGGAAAAAAATAGTGGGTGCTCAGCACCCACCGGC